CTAGACTGTAGTGCCTTCACTCTGAAGACCTGGATCCTGACGTCCAAAGCCTTGTCTCGGCAAGAAGTATGCATCAGAGGATGCTTCGCTGTTCAGGAGTCGGTGTTGAGGCTGTTGACCTTGGGCACCATACCCAATCAGGAGGCCCAATCCGCTGGGGCGCTTCGCGGGTAGATGCCAAGAGTAGTGTGAACAGAGCGTGTCAGTGCGCTGCTTTTTGTGCTGTAAGGAGGAGGACATTCATAAGGTTTCTCAGTATGATAGTAATGGAGTGTCCAAGCGGTCCCCGGCCAGAACGCCTTCTCGCTCGATCCGACAGTCGGGACCTAAGGGCCCCAGAGAGGTTTTGGGCTTAGGGATTTCAGGAGCAAAGAGGGCCACTTGCACTCGCCCTTTGCCCTCTGGAGGCGCCCTCATAGCGTTTGTTCGACTGGCACAGAAGACCCTTGGAAGTCCAGCGGAGTCTATAGCGGTCCGCTTCAAGCAGTAACTTCTGGAGGCTACGAAGAAGGAGCTGCCGCCGCTGAACCGAGCGCGTGAGGCACGTCGGTTTGAGTGGACTCTCCGAAGCGCATGATGCAGGTTGATATGTTTCGATCTAAACGGTTTGGCATTGCTGTCCGGGACCACAAATCGGCTGCGAGGAAGGTGTCTTTGAGGCTGAAGCTTTGTTTCCCATGCTGCCAGACATGCTTGCTCGTGAATCCACGTCAGAAGCTTGCAGCAAAACATGGTCTCACGATCTCTGCAGGATGGTCATATTGAGATTGGACTCATTCCCCAGCCCCTTTTCTGCTATTCCGGGGGTTTCTACTAGACTGAATGAAATTGACATCGGCTGTCATTTATGGCCGTGAACACGCCATGGGCACGGGTTGCTCGAGCAGAGTTCGACGAGCTTCAACACGTGCCTGATGCCTCGCACCTTGTTCCAGTGAGCATCAGTGAGCCACAGCTCCTTCGCCAGGCACTGAGCAGTGAGGACGGGCCGCTGCGATCAAGATTGATCAAGAAGTTTTCGCCACTGCTACCTCTGATGATGCTGGTGCTGATGCTTGCCGCTATCACGCCATACAGCTGCTGCAGTAGTTCCTGCCCCTTCCGATTGCTACTGCTGCTCCTTCTGATTGTTGGTCGTTGATGGGCTCGGCTGATTTTCTAGAGAAGGACTTCGTCGCCAACGACGCGATAGTTTTCGAGCGCAGCTACATCTTCCCTGGAGTCGTCGTGGCCCTGGAAGAGCAGAGAGCAGCCGCTTCCAAGTTTCATCGACGCGCGAAACCTGTTGCACCGGAGCCCAGAACAGCTTGCAGCCCAGCGTGCTGGACAACGCAGATCTTGCATTGCATGTGACGACCAGCACAGTGGATTGTAGGGATTTGTAGGGACCGTGATGCACACAAAGCTGTGCTGTCATTGACACGGGCTGGCAGATTCCCGACGGCCGCGACCCTGCCGTGGCGCTGGAGTCATTGCAGACACTTGGCCTGCGGTCTGTTTGTTTCACGTGGCCGACTGTCTAGTCTAGTCAAAAACCGGCAATGAGTGTCTTGAACCCCATTAATCGGGGACATGCATGTTCAAAAGCCGGCAAAGAGTGGCTTGAATCGCGCAGCACTCCCTTTGAGAAGTACGCGGCGAATGTTTTTTTTTCAGCTTGTCCAAATTCCAAGCCTCCGCTGCTTCGGAACCTGAGAAGCCTAGTGCGAGTGAATGGAAACTGCAGGCTCGAAGATACCATAGCAACAGGTTTGCCGCTGCCGCTGGTGGTGGTGGTGGTGGTGGTGGTGGCGGTGGCGGTGGCGGTGGCGGTGGCGGTGGAGGTGGTGTTGTCGTCTTTCCTTGAGCTTGGTAGTACTGCCGTTACAGCCGATAACCGACCAACTGTCTTCCTTGTTTGCGTTACTGCCTGTGAGACCTTGGCCTGGTCGAAGTGTAGCACTCCGCCACCCCTACATGGCGGTCGTGCTTGCTCTTCTTCTGTCTGCGGCGGGTGTGCCCTTTATGTAATAAAGCCATGGCTAGAAGTCACGAATGTTTGCCTACCGTTTTCGTTTCCGTTGCCGACAGGCCCGTTTTCGGCCTCTAAAGGTGCATTTTCTGGAGAAGCTTGCTGCACGACACTACAGTGCTGCCATGTTTATTTACAGTGTACAGCCTACTTCTAGTAGCAGCCGCACTGGTAATGCATGGTAATGCGAGACGCCCAAATACGCCCAAGAGTAGTTGCCAAGGTACGACGTCTTGGAGTACATTCAGTGTAGCTCAGGTTTTGTCCAGGATATCAATACTCATGCAGCCATCATGGCATGAGCTCCGCCGATGGGTCCCCACGTCTGATGTGAGTTCTCAACTCTGGTCGGGCTTTCTGAAAGAAAGAACTCAGACTGCAACTAGCCAAACGAGACAAATTTCAAGGTCCAATGTGGAGAGTCTAAGCTTGAAAGATTGGTTTTCCTGGCTGTGGCAGTCCGTGGGGGCCGGGGGGCTTGTGACCCTTTCTCGGAGAAAACGTCTTGTGCATGGCTACATGGCAGCACTGAGGACCCGCATGGCGGGCATCCAGGCGCCCGGAGCCCAGACTCTGCCTCTGCGCTCAACTCGGAAGCCTCCAACCCTTCACTTCAGAACCAGGCATGTATCGTGCGCGCGCCTCCTTTCAGCGATAGCAGACCAGCGCGACTGGTCAGCCAATTGCTGCGTTCTGGTTAAGCACGCCGAGGGCTGGCGCAACAGAGACTGAGCTCTTCCTCCAGCCACAGAAGGACTGGGCGAGAAGGTTTTATTTGCCAAGCACATGCAATGTAATGAACATGTTGAGGGGTCCCCCATGGTCCACGTGCAGGAGGAAGGAAAGAGTCTGCTGATCATGGTGCACAAGAGACACCTTGCAGCAATCAAGAATCACCAGTGAAGGGGATGCAGAGCCTTCTGAATAGCTGAAGAAACTATCTGACTGCTGAAATGACATGAACCGAACTGCAGAGCAAGAGTTGTTGCTGAGCCGATGTTTGTGGCCAACTCGACGCAAGGCGATCTGCCCGATGGAGAGATCGAGTCGTCCCCGACCGAGCTGTTGGGATATGGTGTTGCCAAGCAGAGGGCGCGAAGCTTCCTTCCCGGAACGCTATCGACCGTTTCTGGCACCCTCCGATGTCGAGCTACTGGTAGCTGTGGTTGAATCTCCGACTAAAAGCCTACAGCCAGAGCAAGTTGCGCAGGTGGCAGTGGGTCATTTGGGTCCTCAGCGTGGGTGCCACCTTCGTTTCCTCCCTCTCTACGACCTTGGCGGTCGCCTGCCCATGCTTATCAGGGCAGGAAGCGAGTCTTGTGGGCGTACCGCAGTATGGAGCCTCAGATCTCTAGACGTTTTGGCACCGGCGGAGGGGCGCAGGGGGTCGGAGACTCCGAAGCTGACTTGCTGTGAGACCCCGCAGGTGGTTGCTGTGGGTCCCGGCCTGGCCGCACCACCGGCACATTCGTTGACAGCTAGCCTTTCTAGGGGAGGAGCCGACAGTTCTGACATCCAAGGCTTTCATAAGACACATGGGTTTCGATCACTTCGATCCTGGCAGGCCGGATCAGATGTGGGAGACCTGACTGGGGCCTTTGAGAAGGCCTATGCTTCGCTGTGCACGTTCCCAGGAAGCTTCATGAACAACAAGGATTATCATGATTGTATGCTCTTTCTCCCCAAACTTGTATTCCGAGACAAACTCAAACAGGCAAGAGGCAAGAAGCCCTGACGGTCACCAACACTTAACGGCCTGCTCCAGTTGGTGCCTGTCGCCGCAGCCGTGCTGGCCACTGTTGCCGCCCAGGCCTCCTGGCATCCTGCAAATTTCCCTTATTTCAAACCAAAGCCAAGCCACCTTTGCTTTCAAGGTTTTGAAGCTTTCATCCGCTCAATGCAAGGAGACCGCGCGCCGCACGGTGGCATCCAACTACAAGTGCGCTGCAGGGAAGTCCGTGCATGGTGGTAAAGATGTGCCAATTCTTCCGATTCGCATCTTTATGGCCAGGATGTGATGGGTTTGTGATATGGTTGAATGAACGTTTCCGGAGGCATTTAGAGCCTCTCTCTGCCAGGGTCGAGCTCACTCCGCCGTACCTGCTGCCAACATTGCTGAGCGGGCCCCGACCCTCAGGTGGTGAAAGCTTTGAATGACAAGCGGTTCCATCATCACCGCTAACACTTCCGTCATCAGCGAAAGCCCCACTGTCACTCTTGCCATCACCACAACCTGATCATGGTCTTTGTCATCACCGGGGAAACGAACTGAGATCCATTGGCTGCCTCGGCACCTTGACACGCCGGCTGTCCACCGCGCCGAATCGGGAGGCACCCGGTTGGCAGATGCGGCACAGGGCAATGCCGGGACTGTTGGAAGCGTCCTTTGGCCTCAGGCCGAGGTGAACATGTCCTTGGCTGCGCCCATCGCGGGGCTGATTGCCCGAGGGCTCAGAAGCCTGGGGTTCGAAGACATCAGGTGGCCGCCTTGCTTCCCGATCTAGTGAGGTGAGCGGGGCATTCGACGTGAAGACTATATTAATGAGCAGTCTTGCCACAGGAGAACAGGCGGAGCATGGAGCAACAGTAGCATCAACACTTCTAGAAGAGGGCAGCGTCCACACACGGATTGACATCTATGCTTTCGCCTGCAGGTCTCCCTGGGCTTTATGGCCGCAGGGCTGGCAATGGGGCCGGGCACGGACCGCCATACCACAACCACAGATGTAAAGTCTATTGTGTGATTTCTGTTAATACAGTTCTTGTCGCTGCCGTGTCTTCTTGGCGGAGTAGATCTGGATGCAGAGTGGGTCGTGGATTTTTGAACTTTTGAGGCAGGGTTGCAGGGATCCGAAGTACGAAGCGATGAGCCAGTGCCCGTGTGGAAGAAGTGCCAAAATGCCCTTGCCGCAAGCATTGTGCTTAGAACCGCTGCCAAGATGCCGTCATCATGCAAAGCTCCAATTTTCAGCCACATGTGTTGACGAAGTGACACTTTGAGAGCACACAGCATCGCCATGGACATCGAAGACTTGGCCAAACTGGCCGGCCAGCCACTGGGCTTGTGGTTGGCTCTTCGGGTCGAAGCCTTTCCCCTCAACCTCAAAAGTCTTGGGCACTTGTGACAGAGGCCAGAGTTGCCCAGAGACTTCATGAGCCGTCACGACCCGCAAGGTTCGATGGCTCTACGCTGGTCACTCCCAAGACCCTGCAGGACCTCTTTGAGGGACTCGACCATTAGGCGCAGGATATCTGTTGTCAGATCTGTAGATTCAGTGTAGATGCTAGCAGGCTGCAGGGCTTCAAGCTCGTACTTTTACCAGGAAGTAGTGTCCACCGGCAACTGCATGGGGCCTGGAGCCCTGGTGGACAATGTCTGTTTCGCATGAAACTGGGCATGAGACGTCCGGCGACAGCGTTCTTCCTTAGGTGCGGCATTTGCGAGAGCATCGTGGGGTCGGACTTCCTCAAGATGGAGGTGTGCTGCTGGATAGGAAGGATCTCAGGATCACGGGCTAGGGCGCCTAGGGCTGCGCAAGTTTATGTTTAGTAGTGCTTGCCATTGATTGGAGATCTTTGCAGCGGTATACCGGTGAAAAGCATAGCAAGACCCAATCGCAACACCCGAGCCAGCCAAGCCCGAAAAGAAATCGACAGCAGTACCATTGCCGGAAGTTCGGTAAGTTCGATTGGCTGGACGGTTGTCGTAGACGGTTTTCGGGTTCGTAGTCAACAAGCTTCCTTGCGGTCTGAGCTGCGTTGAAGGTCATCCCACCAAGACAGCGCATGAGGCCTGTGTTCCTGAAGGCCTGAAGTTGCGCAGTTCATGCTTGCAACAAGGCATGTGGTAGCGCTCGCCGGTCGCAGCAAGACATGACATGCAGACCGGTGTTGCGCGAGCCACGGTTGGCATAAGATGTCGCTGCAGACCGGCATGTCGGTTGAAGCATATCTTCCAAGGACTTGTTCTAGCAGATGCTCTTATGTACACTTGCTCCAGTCTGGAGGAAGCACCTCCGGATCGTGTCGCCAAAGCTGTTGCGGCTTGTCCGGGCGCGCAGGCTTCTCAACTCAAGCCGACTCGTGCATTTCGCCAGTGCTTGAAGGCTTGGGTCATGAGATGGCCGGATTCACACTGAAGGGGCAAGACGGGGTGTAAGCGTCGTCGTGTCTTGCATAGTTGCTTCTGCTGCAGCTCCACCACAGCAGAGTCCCTGGAGCCCGCTGAAAGTCTAGCACCTGGCAGACAGGTCGGTGGCTTACCGGGCGCCCTGGCATCACCAGTCGATTCCCAAAAGAGGTACCACTGAGTCCTTTTTTTTCTAGGGCTTCACATCGGCCTGTTGAAGGTTCCGAGTCGAAGATGAAACGCACCAGGCTACTCGTAGCCGCAAGGGTGCCGGGGGCCGATGTTTTGCTTTTTTTTTCTCTCAGGTTGGCGGCCCTCCAGTGGGCTAGAGGCCTTTGTTGGCCAGGCCGGGCCTGCTGCCCCGATGGCAACCTGTGCAGTGTTCGCCCCGTCGAGAGGCAAAATCCATCCAGAAGGGTTTTGCCAGTGATCCCGAGATCCGTGCCTTGAACTTGACATGTCTCCAAGCCTCCCCAAAAAGCGTCCAGCAAGGCCAAGCTTTTGTCATGGCACAAGGCGGAAGAGACACGACCTTATGATTCGGTTGCCTCTTGCCTGCAGAGGCTTTAAAGCGGCCGCTGCGGGTGGGTTGACCTCTCTCTCCATTCACATGATCGAGTCGGGTCAGGCAGGGCACAACTGTCTCGCATAGCTAAACGACTGCATGCAAAAACCTCCAGTCAGGTGAAGTTTGTGCTCCACGTCAAGGCCACCTTGTCCAAACTCTGGCTTGCACATCGCCTAGTCCCAGAGAGCCTGCGGCCGAAGAGGCGTGCGCCATGTACGATGACATCGCCACGCAAGGGTCCAAACTGAGCTTTTCTCGTGCGGAGGCTGGCAACTAGAATGTGAGCCCCCTTCCATCAGTTGTAAACATCGTCAGAGAGCGGCAGCGGTCTGGCACCCCGAAGACTGTACTGCCCCCAGACGGCTGGAGGTCTTCGAAGGCCGGGGCTCCCGCTATGGGCCCGTGGCGCCTCTCAAGTCCCTGGAGGCCCTCGGAGTATGAGACTGTGAGCCTTGTGTGCGCTTGGTGCGTCTGCGGATGTACGGGGTGACTTCCTGTTCTGGCCCGGAACAGAGCCACATCTCTGGGTCGCGGCAGACAGGTGTTTCGAAGCGACGTAGGTGCCTCGCAAACTGTCGCACTGTCGACACTCGCCATGTGCAAACGTGTTATTTGTCGCCGAGAGATGCCTTCTGAGCGTTGGCATCGTAGCTGAGGTGCAAAAGGTGAGGTCGCCGTCTATCACGTTGTTGGAGGTTTTCTCATAGGGAGCTGACGTGCCGGAAGGATGCTCTTGCACGTGCTGAGCCCTTCGCATTGGTGGCAAAGCCTTGCGACATCAACGCCGCGCGTCGCTGCATCTGAAATTATGGGGAACTAAGACAAAAGTGGTGCTTTGCAGATTGGCTGATGCAGGCTGCATACATGAAGTGCGGTGTCCGGTGTGCAATCAGCTGCAAGGACTTCAGCTCCTGAATAAATTAAAGAGTGTCTCCGACCATCAACAAAGTAGACCCCAAGGCAACTATGCACTCGTTGACAAGCGCATGGATGAACTCTGCAAATGCATGATGACAATCTCCTGTGGCACCTACGCAGACAACGCCACTTGCAGTGCAGAAATTCTTAGAGGCTTTGCAACGACCACTGGCATCACTGTTTGGGATACATGTACCGCTGCCTTGCTTGCAGTGCCATGCAGCCTCTACAGGCCAGTAGTTCCCTGCTTTCGGATACACGTTTCCCCGAGGAATGCGTGGACCGCTTCCTGGGCAACCGAAATATCGCCAACGAAGAGGTGGAGGTGCTGCGTTTTGCTGTGCCGGTTGTCTGACAGAGTAGCCCGTCCGGAAGTGGCTGAGTTACGATCCCTGAGCGTGTCAACACACAACCACACATTAGTGTAGTCAGGACTGCACGTAAACACCAGTTGCCAGGCTGCTGCTGTACATCTTGCACGTAAACACCTGTTGCCGAAGTAACAGCGAAAGCAGTGTGGTCGATACTGTCGAGATCTTTGTAAGTCGATGAGTTTGCTGCCTGGAACTCCTTGATAAACTTGTTGCCATGTTGGCACAAACGTCTTCCCCGGCACCTAGCCCAGATTTTCCTATGCTTTGAGGCTGCATCCCCATCCGCTCTGTCCTCCGAAAAGAAATTACGAAGAGGTCTTTAGGACATCGAGTCTCACGGGGACTTCGAAGCTGTCCCGGCTCATAGGATTAATTTTATCGCTAACGCGAGGCCGCCTTGGCAGCGGTAGTCGAGGCTAGTTTTGGGAGCCAAGTCGCGCCACACATCCCCCCCCCCCCCCCCCCC